CAGCTTTCCCAGCTCCGGATTTCCTGCTGCAGCACCTCGCCCCCGCTCCCCACAATGACCCTTCACCACCCCTCCCCCATTCCCCTTCCCCTTCCCTTTGCACTGAGGACCAGGGTGACCTTGCTCTCTTTCCAGGGATAGGGTGGGGGGCTGATTCTCATGGCCTGAGCTCACCAGGGTGGGGGGCTGGGAGCTTCCGAGGAGAGGAAGAAGAGGCACCACTGTCAGTTGGATCAGACAAACCTCAGAGGGGGAGAGCACGGTGGCAGCGATGGCAATCTGCTTGGAGCAGTAGGTGCATCTTGGATACTCACAAGTAAACAGTAAGAGATATGTCATTTGTCCAGTGCCTACGCACTGGCAGGCACAGTGCTTAAGGTTTTACATGGATTGTTTCATATAATCCTCACCACTGCTTCATGTGATAGCTTCTGTTATCATCCTCATTTTGCAGATAAGGAAAGAGTTAACCTCCCCAGGGTTAGCACAGCTAGGAAGTGGCAGAGCCAGGATTCAAAGCCATGTATATCTAGTACTCCTTCCACTGTGTCTCCCAATTTACCAGGTGATGAGCCCTAGTCTACTCAACTCCTAACCCACGTCTTCACTTCTCCATTGATCCAGTCCCCACACTCAGGCTACTCACCCTGTGTCATGTGGGATCTTAGTTCCCGATGACCAGGGATCAAACCTGTGCCCCCTGCAGTGGAAGCTCGGAGTCTCCACCACTAGAGCATCAGGGAAGTCCCGAGATGCACTTTTTATCAGTGGTAACGTCTTCGTGCAACTACATCTCTTAACCCAAGTATCACTATAGCAGTCTCTTAAGTCTTTACTAGGATTGACTCAAACTCTTCCATAAGAAACCATTGAAAAAAGGGTGTTGGGCTTCCCTGGTGGCGCAGTGGTTGAGAGTCCGCCTGCTGATGCAGGGGACATGGTTTCATGCCCCAGTCTGGGAGGATCCCACATGCCGCGGAGCGGCTGGGCCCGTGAGCCATGGCCGCTGAGCCTGCGCGTCTGGAGCCTGTGCTCTGCAGCGGGAGAGGCAACAACAGTGAGAGGCCCGTGTACGGCAAAAAAAAAAAAACAAAAAAAGAAAAAAAGAAAAATGGGTGTTTAATATGTCTGGCAGTAAAGATAAATAAGACTCCTCTTAAGCAGCCTTCCTTCTAGAAAGGCTCACAGGGTCCATAAATGCCAGGTACTCAGGACTGACTTCAAAATGCATGTGTAAAGGAAAATGTGCCACATCTAGTGCACTGTTTATCCTGCAATGAATATTTGAATGAATGAAAGAGTATTGAAAGCCTCCACAGTACTGAAGGAGGAATTTTCGATGGCCACCGGGGTGTTGAAAAGGTCTAGACTTAAAATTATCAAAGGGCAAGAAAATGTCCTTATTTTTTTTCTTAACTTCAAATAAAGTAGAGCAAACATGGGCTGTGCCTTCTCATTCTAAATACAGGGCCTATAATATAAAGGAAGCTTTAGGGGATGCCAG